GGATCTTTCTCTTTTCCATGCAGTTTGGAAGCGTTGTATTACCGTATCACAATGGAAGCCAACTGTACCATTTGCAGTCTTCTAGCATGGAATGTAACTTGTTCATTGTGACGGATTGCCATTACAGAGGCCTGATTGTTAAGTGACTGGAATGGATGGGTATTACCTTAGATAAGGGAGCCACTGTTTTTTTACACAGTATGTGGTGTTTTATTCCATTGTGCTAGATTTCAAATGCATGGCTAACATATTTTTATGTAAGTTGGCGCAGATGTCATTTGTGGTAACATCACAGCACTTTCAAGGATTTTGCAAGGCAAATATACCAGAAATAGTGTACGACAAAAATATACTCTTCTATTTTTTCTGTAAAAAAATATGCATCGATCAAAATAGGAGATGTAGTAGTGATTGGTTTGTCCACACTTCAAGGACAAGGAAAATTTGCTATTGGTGTCCATATATCTGGGAATACATTAGCATTGCATTCATTAGTGTTGAACAGATGCTCATTATTTTTCTGGACCTTGATAGGCAGGTGTAATGCACATTTGATTAAAATGTTTTGCTATATGAACATCATTAAAATTTAACCAAATTGTTTAAAAAAATCAGGTTTGTAATACCATTGTTTTCAGCAGATCCTGCTCATCACAGATGAGTTATTTTTATAAGACAAATAACATGCCCAGTTTAAAAAATAGCTATTTTCAGTGATTTTTTTTTTTAAGTTAAACTGCTCAGGCTGACCAATAGATATGGCTGTGCAGTATTCAGAATAACATAATTTTTAAAAATTTGGTAACATTTTAGCATTCTGAGGATGCTAGAGCACATCATCTGTACTTTGACATTAAATGTTAGTGATCTTAAAGTGATCATCTGATCTTTAGAACTTCTGAAATTTTTTTTTAACACAGGCATTTTTTATTGAAAGTAAGGAATGTTGGAATGTTCATGCTGTATTCAGCACGCGCATATAATCCATTATCAATAAATCTTTTGTTTTTGTATCTATACTCTAGAACAGGGATCATTAATTTGGGGGTATCCATAGCCCCCTTTTAGGGGTATGGGAACTAAATATTGAGGGTATGAGACAATCAGTGAAGTTAAAAAAAAAATTGTTAGATTAGGTTCATCTTGTTAGCTGTGCATATTTGTGAAATGCCGTTTTTCTGTAAATGATAAAATCCCTTAATTTTAGTTTGGCTGTTCTGTTCCTAGCTATTCATATGTATAGTAAAACTAAACTGTTGACATCTTTCAAAATCATACTGTTACCTAATGGGACTGGTGGTGATGACATTAGAAGTCTGACGAAGGAGTTATGGGGTCGTATTGGGAGGGGGGAGGGGGTTATGAATTTGTAAAATGTGATCCCATGCTCTAGAACATTAATTTGTTAACAATGACCCAAATTTATATTAACCCAAAGTTTAGTTATTATAAATTTGGTTTATAACTTTGGGAAACAAAGACAAACACTTTATGCATTCCTTAGGCCTTGAGAGGCACATATATTTGTGGCTGGGCACACTGTGAAGGGGCAGATTATTAAAGTGGTAATTTCAAAATGCATAGTAAAATTCTGAAATATAAACTTACCCATCAGAAAAATTTAAAATAAGGCCAATACTGTATCCAATGTTAACACTGGATTCTGATTTTGAGCAATAGGATATACTAGCCTGTATCTGTATCTGCTAGTTTAAGAAAAAGTACTGTATAAAGTACAGTTTAAAACTTTGCCTGGCTTGGCGGGCCACCTGCATTGCACTGCAAGGTATTGCCCGTGAGTACACAACCCAATATTAAACTTTCACTCATAATGTTTATACTTATTAATAAAAATAAGCAAGAATTTATTGTTGGCAGTGTTATGAAGTCATGTCCCAAACTGCGTGTGTTATTTTAATGACCGCGCGAACATCATGAAGTCCAAAGTATTAAGTTAGTGGATTAAATATATTCACTGATGTTTTACCAGAAATATTTTGATCCTTCGATGTCGGGTCTTCCTATCATTGTGAAGCAGAATTCACCAAGCGTTCGATTGTTTACCCACCAGTAGCGTGGGTTAGACTGCCATGAGACAGGGTAGTTTTATCCTACTGTTACTGTTGTGATGGCAGTCCTCAGTATAAGAGGAACGGCAGGTCCGGACAAATGGTTCCATTCTAGGTCGATCGGCTAGGCTACGTAGCTAGCTTAGGACATAGCTAGGGACATAGCCATGGACATAGCCATGGACGAACCATGGACATAGCCTAGCTATGTCCATGGGGTTATCTGAAAGCCTCTAAGGCAGTTTGGCTGGAGAAGCAATGATATCATGTATGGGATGGTCAAAGACGAGTCTAATGGAGACACCTGCGCTGTTCGGGACTTCCCTCTTGCTCACTCTTGGGAGGAGGGAGGCAAGAGGTGGTGCGTGGAATGGACTCTTATAAGGGTAACTAGGGGGAGTTGTCCAAACAGTGCAGGTGTCTTCATTTCCAAATAAGGAAATCTCTAGTGCTAATGTGATTTATCGAATCGTTTGTAGGTGACTTGCATACCGGTCAGGGTGTTATAGGTGGCAGAGCAGCATCCTCACTGCGATCTAAGACTTTTCCCTCTAAGGCTGGAGAGTTGGTTCGTCACACCCCCCAATGGCAATAACCAATCGTCAATAAACAAGAAAATTTGTGCTTTTTGGTAGTGTTGATTGCCAAGAATATTTTGTAATAGAAATGTGGAATTAATGTCAAAACAAAAACTAACAAAGTTGTTTTAAGTAATGAGGCTTTAGGTATTTTGTTTTCCAATGGCATTAGCAGTCATTGGTTAATTTGTCCTTAATTACAATACTAAATTTTATTGTGCACAAATATTCTTTGGTTTGAAATCTAATATTAAGAATAGGCTTAAAATTGACTGTGGTTGCTTCACGCTATTTATTAATGTAGACTTGTTAGAAAATGTAACGGTGGTTAATGATACAGTAGTACTGTAGTATGAACTAGATTTAAAGTACAGTAGTTGTTTGCTATTGGTATTGGTTTTTAATCTTGTTCAATGCTAAATAAGTCTCGATTATAATGTAAAACTCCAGTATTAATTTTCTATATTTGTGCATTTTCTTTGAATTTTACTTAAAATATTCTGTAGGAATAGGAAACTTATTTTGTGGGACAAGGGGCCCTGACAACCGAGTGGATAACACTTCGGATTCGTAGTTCTGAGGTTCCGGGTTCGATCCCCGGTGGAGGTGGAAACAAATAGGCAGAGTTTTTCACCCTGATGCCCCTGATACCTAGCAGTAAATAGGTACCTGGGAGTTAGAGAGCTGCTACGGGCTGCTTCCGGGGTTGTGTAACTAAAAGGCCTGGTCAAGGACCGGGCCGTGGGGAGGCTAAGCCCCGAAATCATCTCAAGATAACCTGACAGCACATGGGAAGGTAGTGCTTCTTACATTCTGATGCAGTCTTTAACTTGGTTGCAGTTTGGTCAGGAGTCTAGTGAGAATGTTGAGTGAAAGCTTTTGGTACTGTAGTATCATAAATTTGGGATTGAACTGAGCTGGCTAATGATTTCAGTTTAAGGGTGTTTGGTGTGCTATCTGTGAGATGTCATGCCAGCAGTGTTTTTATGATAGGAGGTGAATGTAAACCTGCTAAACACAGCCTTCTTAATCTTGGTTTTATATATAAATTATAATACACATGTTGCAATTAGGTTACGTTGATAAATGGGATTTTCTTAATTTCACAGTTGATTATAGTTTAGACGTGCTGTTCTTTTCTTGGAACAAGTTTTTTTGTTTGCTGTATTAATTGCTATCCTACGTTTCAATGTGTTATATTATTCAGTGATTGTGTTAGGTTGTCAGGGAACTCTAGATATACATGATGAATGCCATTATTAATAATGCACGTACAAAATAAAGATTAATGCAGTGTTCAGCATTGGAAGACTAATTATACTGAGTTAACCAGTGTTATTCCTCTGTTGATTTGTGTTAATGTTTATTCTTAAGTGTATATATATATATATATATAGTTAATTATTTAATTTTAGGAACAATGTTGAAAGTTAATTTTGTTCAGTCATCATTTAATGTACAGTATATGCAATGAACCGTAATTTCAGTGTTGGTAATAAGTTTTAACTTGGTTATCTGTACAGTAACTACTGTGTATGAGAGTAAATGCAGTGCTCCACTTTAGAAAATTTATAAAAAATGATATTGCCCCCCCCCCCCCTGCCTGCTGTCAGGCTCAAATCATTTGTTTTAAATTGGTTTAATGATAGTGATTAACTGAGAAGGCAATGACTCATATTGTAGGTTAATCATTAGATATCTCACCATTGCTGCAATATCTTGTTTTGCCATCTCTTTAGTACAGTTTGGATTACTTATCTGATAATTGTATTGGCATTTTTGTGGTTGAGGATTTTAGACCCTAAATTACATACAAATGAAGTGATGCATGGATTAATGAGTAGAGTAACCTATATGTAGTGAGTTATTGATGGCCATTAATATTATCCCTTCAAATTTGGTGTTAGTATGGCAGTTATGATTTTCTCTTATTATTTTGTAATAAATAATAAGAATTAGTTGCATTTTTTTAAGAGGAAAATGGTAATAGAATGTTGATTTTTTTTTGTAATTTCATGTTATGGGAAATGAGAGTGGATAATATGGTTGTTGTAATGATTACTCTTCATTATTTAATTCCTTACAAATTGTCAGTGTTGATGAGTAGGGTATCTTGAATTGTGGTGTTTATTCTTCATACATTATGCTTCATTTGTTTGTTGCTGACACTTTTAATGAATATTTTCATAATTATGACGTATCTAATTAAGCCCTTTTTTTTTTAATAGTCATGGGAAATATGTTGATTTAGGGGGTGATATTGCTGCCTTTAGGTTTTGCAGAGAAGTAGCTTTGATGCACGTCCTTTGGTGTCCATAACAGATATTGACGAGTTAATCCTAATTTCTTCTAGGGTGGAGCAAAGAGCGACACAATGCTTTAACTTGACATGGTGGAAATCACTGCGACCACGTGTGTATAACCTGTTGTCTATTTTTCGCCAAATGTCTTATTATTTCATAACAGTTTTGATTATGCAGTTTATCCAACTCATTGTCCTCTTTTCTGCAATTTACCAGTATGGTAGTTTCATTTGTAGTAAATACTTAGGAACACAGAGATTGGCCAGTCCTTTCTGAGCCAGTCTTTTCTTCACAAGAAAAAAAAAATAGATTTAGCAATATTATATGAAAGTTGTCAGAAGATGGTACAATGTCCAATACAGATACTTGTGGTTTTAACATCCTCTAACCCTGTGTCCAATAATGCTCAAAATTGGGCATACTTTCCAGGGATAATCCAGCGGCAGAGAAGATATCTCCATACGGCTTGGGGGTGCTGGTTGTGAGTTTTAGATGCATAATGTCCATCTTTAGCCCTTTTTTTATTTCTCAGAACATTTTAAGAATCACTAATGTTTTAGGGTGTGGTGTAACCTGCTGTGGGAGGTGAAAGACTGAAGTGTGCGCTTGATTGCTGAACCATTTTAGTGTGTGGTTCACAAGTGATATATATTTTTTTTATCATATTATGGGTCAGTGACTCATTTAACACTTCAGGTTACACCCTCACATGTTAGTGTAAGTTCAGGGATATGAGCATATAGTGAGCATGACCTTGGTTGGGATACTTATTAATGTACTGTGGGTAGGTCATGTGATGCTGGGATGTCAGTAATTGTGGCTGGGGTAAGAAAGTTGCTTTTCCTTTTCAATGAGTTTTAAATTTTTGTTTACTACAAGGTCATGAGTCACTCAATAATAGTTAAGTATTTAGATTAGGTTGAAGTATTGATGCTCCCTGTGCAGCCAAAAATCATTTTGCTTTATTGAGAAATGTAATTTGTTTGGATTAAAGCCTTTTAACTTCTAATCAGATCATGAATCAAAATTTAGACAAGAAAAACTAGTTTTAATGTCTTATTAGTGTGATTCCAAGCATTGAGATTTGGGCTGCATCTTGGTGCATTCATCTTTTGACATGTGGCCGGTGGTTCTCCCATAGGTGATGACACCAGGTACCGGCTAAAGTTCTCCGACCCTAAAGTATGCAAGAGTTTCCTGCTTACTTGCTGTCCTCATGAAATTCTGTCCTCAACGGTGAGTAACTTTAATTCTCTTGAGTTATTAACATGAAGTTAATCTGATAGTAGTACAGTATTTAGAAAATAAATTCTTAGTGCCTCTCAATATAAAGTTTTGTTAGTACATTTTGGAATATAAACAAAGCAAAGCTTTTTCTTTCTTTCTAGTTAGAACTACCTTATCTGTCCTGAGGTACAGTAGCCATATCAGGTGTACTGCACCATATTGATTAGGTCTGTGCCCCTCCCCCTCCTTTCCTTTGAAATTCAGTAGCAGTTTCAGACGTACCGTATTGATTAGATCCATGCCAGAAAGGTCTATATCAATATGCAAGTGCTCCTTGAAAGGTTGTAGCCTGGCTGTATAAATCAATTGAGCTTGTATTACAGTGCACATTACCAAAGCTTTTGGGATTGGTGCATTTTCATATTGCATTTTTCTACTGTATAGGTACATAATACATTTGCAACACAGGATGAATATAAAATGTTATATATATTGCATATGTACAGCTGGCTCCAAATTTATTCATACCCTTGATAATTTAGCAATTTAAAAATATTGTTTGTCCATTTTTGTTTGACAATATAAATCATGAATATTTGCATTAGAATAGTTTAAAAAGTTGAAATTACATCTGATTATGTACAGTGTTATGCTTATTCATGGCCTAGCAATCGGTATGTTTATTACCTTTTGGCTTTGACAACTTATAACTTATTTGACACTTGTAGCCAATTGGTTTAGGCACCGAGTATTTTAACCGTTCCTCTATGAACTTCAACAGCTCATTCTAATTAGAGCTTGTGGCTTCTTGTGAACTACTGTTCCTGGTTCATACCATTTGTTTTATATTTAAGGTCTGGAGATTATGATAGCTAATCATAAATACTGTGTGTAAATGTGAGCATTTTGTCATTATCCTACTGGCAAGTTCAAATTTGAGCATGATGGAGAACCAGATTTTTCTATGGGGAGCCCTGTCGGCTTCCTGAAGCTATCTTGCTAATCAAGTGTCATACTAAAGTGTGAGCATCATCAGTCGCAGTTCTTTGTAAACCTATCTTGGACCAGGAGCCAGAACTTGGCCCCTCAGAAAGGCAAAGGGAGCAATGGCCCATGAACACTTTACATTTAAAGATGTCGTCTTGCCATCAACCAGGGAAGTCACCCAGAAAGATAGGCGAATCAAAACAGACGCCTGCCTGGTTGAAAAGGGCAACCTGTGTCCTCACAAACGCAAAAGAACCCCCCTTCCCTTCCCAGAAAGCAAACGGGGCTCTGCTTCTTTCAGCGGGTCGGGCCAGTGAGGTTCTAGCTGGTTCAACCTTCTCCGTAATACAGTGTCTTTCTGACGTGTGTGTATCACCATTTGTATGGTGATCAGGTAACTTCTTTGATGGTGTCCCACCTGTGGTCTTTTCAATGACAGTATGAGGTTTCTTGGTGAGCTTTCCAACATTTTTTCTTTTCTTTTGGGTTTTGTCGGTATCGGACAAGGTTGTTTTGGCCTTTCTCTCGGCTTTTTCTGGATTGACACATCATCACATACTGTAACTTATCGTGTGGCATTGGAGGAGCCACTGCAGCATGCGTTTGGGGTGGATGTCACTTCTGTCTTGTTCCGCACAATTTCTTGTGCATTTATTTCACCAAAGGCGTGCTCATACGCTGCCCGAGCCATCTGGGTCTCTGGACTGGGTTCTTTCCTTTCTTCACCTCAGTTTGTGGTGGCCCTTTCGGTTCATGATGGCTTCTGAAAAAACTTTTCTTGTTGGCTTTGGCCTCTGGGGGTTGGGTTCATGTTTCGTGCTATTCTCCGGTGCCAGGGGTTTGTTCATTTGGTCCTGGTGGTCGTTTTGTTAGTTTGTTGCCAGCTCCTCCTCCTTCTGGTGAAGAATGAGACGGCGAGCTTCCTTGGTTCATTGGCGGTGGATGCTTTTTAGGTTTGGCTGGGGGTGCATCGTGAGCTGTGCACGGTGGCGGCTTTTCACCACTTCCTGTAGGTTACTGGTTCTGTGTTCGTAAATGCACTCTAGGTGGCTCTGGTTTCCCCTGGTTCCCTGTTCTGGGGCTCGTGTGTGTCCGGTTGTCCGCAGTGTCATTGTCTAGCCAGCCAGCAGTCTACCCCTCGTGCCCATGATGTTAGGAGGTATGCCGCTCTTTTGGTGCTGTTTTTGACAGTGTATTTGGGAGCAGGGGGTTTTGGAGTTCAGTCAAGGTTCTGGTTGCCAGGTCTCTCGTGACTCCTTGGGGCCCCTCTGCAGCTTTGTGTTGCTTTGGGACTTCTGTAGCAAATGGTTGTGATCTGTGGGGCTGCTGCCTCCTGGGTTATTCCTTGTTTTCCTTCTCTGTGGGTAGTCAGCTTTAGGGAGCCAACTGAAGTCCCCACAGAAAACCAGTGTCGAATGTACTAAAACGCCAGTTTCTGGGCGAGCCGCGGAAGCTTTCTGACACTCACTCCCTCCGGTCGCCGGTTTTCATCATTCAAAGAACTAACTGGTGGTGGCCTGACTTCCGGGTGCCTTCCCTGGGCAATGGCAAGATGACATACTTTACATTGAAAGTGTGTTCATGGGCTCCCTTCATCCCTCGGAGGGGGCCAGGTTCTGGCTCGTGGTCCCCAGTAGGCTTGCAAAGAACTGTGACTGATGGCACTCGAATACAAATAGTATGACACTTGATCAGTAAGATAGCTTCAGGGAGCCTCCGGGGCTCATCCAGAAACTGCAGTTTCATTACATTCAACACTTTTTTTTTTTTTTTTACATATATAAAATATTTTTATATATTGTACTTTTGGAATCGATCCCTCTTGCAGTGCTTGCATGCATACCATGACCAGAGGGTGAAAATTTGCCCCAGATATGATCCACCTCTGTATTTTGCAGATGACATTTTGTTAAAAAAAAAAATAATCATTTGTGTATCTAACATGTCATTAAAAAAGTACAAAAAGGTTAATTTAGGTTTCACCGAAGAACAAAACATGGTCCTTGTCATCATGCTGATTGATCAATTAATTCAGATCTGTGCTTCTTAAGGAGAGGTTTCCCCATGAAACTGTCATAGGCGCCAGACTCTTGTAACCTACATTGAACGGGAGTTTTGGAAATTTACAGTATCCGATGAGTGATTCTTGAGGCTCCCAGTTGTCACCTGTACAGTAGTTATAATCTCAAACCATTCTTGTAATATTGACGTGTAAATATTTTTTTTCCCTGGTTCTGGTAGTACCGGTAGTCCCACTAGTCTTGAATATTTTTGATGCATGCTACAAGCAAGATGAAGATGTTTACAGTAATTTGCGATAATTGTTAGAGCATTTATTGACCTGTGAAGGTTGAAAAGCAGGATTAGAGGTTGAAGTTGGATTGATTCTGCATACAGCCTTCTTTTATACCCAGTGACCATCAAAGTGACTTCCAAAACACTTGAGAAACTTATCAGATGACCACAAAGCGGTTCAACAATAGATTAAAATTTTTGTGTAACTTCTGGGTGTTAATAATTTGAAAAATCATTCATATACTCTGGACATTAAACTTTACCATATTTGCCAGCGTAAATTACGCACCCTCGCATAGGACACACAGGATTTTAAAAGAATATTTTATGGGAAAAACTTTTTAGCACGTTCATCATTTATTGAAAGATATTTTAATGTGGATGTTGTACCACAACTCTTATCACCTCTTAAGATCAGCTGTGATGTAGTTTATATTTTGGGCAAGAGAATTGCTGTACAGGATGTGAAACTTGTATTTCTGGATGTGATGTTGTGTTCCTGCATCAGGCCACCAGGGCAGTGCACCATCACAGCATTCTGGTTTTGTCATTCACTCATTGTAATTTATTTTATTTTATTAAATATACACAAGTTATTACATTCTTGTACAGCCACTAGCACGCAAAACGTTTTAGGCAAGTCCTTATTCCTAATATTTCCCGGACTACAACCCGCTAAGTAGTTTAACAACCAGGTACCCATTTTACTGTTGGATAAACAGAGGCTGTTTAGGATCTCCGTGTTAAGGATTGGCGCCAGTAAATCCTCCCTGGCCAGGATACGAGCCCAGGCCAAAGGCCACTTTGGTCCCGCCTCTCAACCGTCAATCGACTGGTGTACAGATTCTTGAATCTACTGGGCTCTATCATATCTACATTTGAAACTGTGTATGGAGTCAGCCTCCCACATCACTGCCAAATGCGTCTTACCATTATGCCACGGGGACTGCTGACAGGCAGATGAAAGTTTAACATGCCTTTCAAATGTCTAGGAACATTTTTCATTTAGACAATGAATAAATGTTTATTAAAGTAACCCAGTTGTTAAGTAATGTATAACATATTAGGTGTGGGTTATGTATGCTGGGTAAGGTGGCAAGATGTGAGCTTATTCATAACTGCTAATGTATTGTAAGCAATTTTTTGTAAGTTTGTGATAACACTATAACTGCTTGTTTTCAATATTTTGCAACAATTTTTGTGCCTAGCAAACTTAGCCATAATGCTCGTCCGGCTCCCTAGCCTATGGCACTGTCTCACATCCATAATAAGGCCGCATTAGACACGGCAATTTTTTGAGACACTTAAAAATAAAAATAAAGTGCATCTTATATGCCGGCAAATACGGTACCTTATAAAATGGCCCATTTAATTTTTTTTAATGAAATTTACTGTCATCAGTATGAATAAACTTGGGAAGCTTAATGTAATCTGCAGTTTTCTATTAGAGCAGTAAATAAGATTTAAAGTTAGGGCTCCAGCCATGTATTATATTTTTCAATGGTTTCTGTATATTTGAACCTTTTATGAATCATTAAATGGTTTGACACTCAATACCCCTTTTTGTCTTTTTTAAGTTTCAACACAAATGTTTCTGAAACCATTGCTGGTCTAGATGGCCCCGGGCTGCATCTTAGGCTTGGAGAAAAGAAAATGTGAGTAAGAAGCAATCAAATGATTTTGCGTGACTGACAGCTGATCTGTAGAGTGGGCCGAGCATGCATTCTATTTGAATTAGTTATCCTGTGCTGTCGAATTTCAGTTGTAGATAATTGGGCAGCAGGTTAAACCCCGTAATAGGGCAACAGGTTAGTAATAGGGTAACAGGTTAAAGCTTGTCATGGAGTAAAATACTTTGTAAATTAACAAGACTATTTGAGTTAGTTTTCATCTTATTCCCCCAGCATCGGTATACTGGAAACAAATTAATATGTGGTTTACATATGAAGTCTGATTGCATTAATGAGTAACCCCAAGAGTGGATTCTTTTCTTATCCTACGATATCTGGAGAACGCACTAGTGTACAAGAACTTAAAAGCATGGTGGTATATGGAAGGTCATTGTTATTTGGGCATGTAACTGGGTGGTGGCATTTAGCATATTACACACACACACACACACACACACACTCATACCAAAACATTCATACCAAAACAGAGATGCAGGACCAGAAAACAGGATTGGTTCGACAGAAATTGTGAGAGGGCAAGAGACCAAAAGACACAAAAATGGAATCAGTATAGGAAGAGGCCAAACCCCCAAACATACCAGCGATACAAAGATGCGAGAAACAATTATACAGCAGTAAGGAGAGAGGCAGAAAGAAATTTTGAAAAAGGGATAGCAGATAAATGTAAAACAGAACCGGGCCTATTCTACAAATTCATAAACAACAAATTGCAGGTAAAGGATAATATCCAGAGGTTGAAAATGGGAAACAGATTCACGGAAAATGAAAAGGAAATGTGTGAAACATTAAATGAAAAGTTACAAAGTGTGTTTGTACAAAATGAAATCTTCAGAGAACCAGACACAATAAGAATTCCAGAGAACAACATAGAGCGGATAGAGGTGTCTAGAGATGAAGTGGAAAATATGCTAAAGGAGCTCGGGAGGAACAAAGCAGCTGGCCCAGATGGCGTTTCACCATGGGTTCTGAGAGAATGTGCATCTGAGCTCAGCATTCCACTTCACCTGATCTTTCAGGCATCACTGTGTACAGGAATCGTAGCAGACATGTGGAAACAGGCTAACATAGTTCCAATCTACAAAAGTGGCAGCAGGGAAGACCCCCTCAGTTATAGACCTGTATCATTGACAAGTGTAATAGTGAAAGTATTGGAAAAGCTAATCAAAACTAAATGGGTAGAACACCTGGAGAGAAATGATATAATATCAGACAGACAGTATGGTTTTCGATCTGGAAGATCCTGTGTATCGAATTTACTCAGTTTCTATGATCGGGCCACAGAGATATTACAGGAAAGAGATGGTTGGGTTGACTGCATCTATCTGGACCTAAAAAAGGCTTTCGACAGAGTTCCACATAAGAGGTTGTTCTGGAAACTGGAAAATATTGGAGGGGTGACAGGTTAGCTTCTATCATGGATGAAAAATTTTCTGACTGATAGAAAAATGAGGGCAGTAATCAGAGGCAATGTATCGGAATGGAGAAATGTCAAGTGGAGTACCACAGGGTTCAGTTCTTGCACCAGTGATGTTTATTGTGTACATAAATGATCTACCAGTTGGTATACAGAATTATATGAACATGTTTGCTGATGATGCTAAGATAATAGGAAGGATAAGAAATTTAGATGACTGTCATACCCTTCAAGAAGACCTGGACAAAATAAGTATATGGAGCACCACTTGGCAAATGGAATTTAATGTTAATAAATGTCATGTTATGGAATGTGGAATAGGAGAACATAGACCCCACACAACCTATATATTATGTGAGAAATCTTTAAAGAATTCTGATAAGAAAGAGATCTAGGAGTGGTTGTAGATAGAAAACTATCACCTGAGGACCACATAAAGAATATTGTGCAAGGAGCCTATGCTATGCTTTCTAACTTCAAAATTGCATTTAAATACATGGATGGCGATATACTAAAGAAATTGTTCATGACTTTTGTTAGGCCAAAGCTAGAATATGCAGCTGTTGTGTGGTGCCCATATCTTAAGAAGCACATCAACAAACTGGAAAAGGTGCAAAGACATGCTACTAAGTGGCTCCCAGAACTGAAGGGCAAGAGCTACGAGGAGAGGTTAGAAGCATTAAATATGCCAAAACTAGAAGACAGAAGAAAAAGAGGTGATATGATCACTACGTACAAAATAGTAACAGGAATTGATAAAATCGACAGGGAAGACTTCCTGAGACCTGGAATTTCAAGAACAAGAGGTCATAGATTTAAACTAGCTAAACACAGATGCCGAAGAAATATAAGAAAATTCACCTTCGCAAATAGAGTGGTAGACGGTTGGAACAAGTTAAGTGAGAAGGTGGTGGAGGCCAAGACCGTCAGTAGTTTCAAAGCGTTATATGACAGAGTGCTGGGAAGACGGGACACCACGAGCGTAGCTCTCATCCTGTAACTACACTTAGGTAATTACACTTAGGTAATTACACACACACACATTGCTTAATGCCACCCCCTCCAATATGTCAAATTAGTATTGCACAAAATTTCTACACAGGTGCCCTGTGTAATGTTGAGAAGTTACAATTGCTATACCTTTCTTTTTTATAGCACAGCAAGACCAGTTTGATAAAGTGAATGAACATGCTTTAGAGCCATACCATATTTAGTACATTATTGTAATGTATAAATTTTCCTTGTCACCTTTGCATAGTAGACTTTATCAAACGTGTCCTTGTAATCTTTGTATGGTAGACTCTGAAATGGCAGTTGTTATACTGGAGAGCCTAATACAACCAAAGAATTTCATTTCCATAGTATGATAGCAGTATGTTTACATTGGGAAAAGGACTTCAAAACTTTCTGTGGAGAAATGCATGCACTGAACTGTGTAATTCAGTGCAGTGAAACTAAAATATGTACATGAAGCTAGCAAATGCACGAGTACAGTAATTAAATTTTAATTTACTTTTTTTTCCCCGAGAATAAATAATACTGTACTCTGAAGTCAATTCAGTTACTGTATATGTAGCACTGTCAAGAAATTATCTTGTGACTAGAATTGATTGAAATCAAACAAGGTTTTGTGGCCTTAGGCAAGGTGCTGGAATCCAGTAGGTTACTTGGCACATCTTGTGAAGTGTGTTGTGAGTGAAAAAGTCTAGAACATTGCAGCAAAGCTGAGAATTCAACTTTAGATAAGAAGTGGGCCAGAGGAGGCATGATACCACAATATTGTGGAGTACTGTATTGACAAGATGGCCAGGATAATAGGCTGAGGGCATAGGAGTTACAATGCAAATGGGGTCATGTGTAAAAAAATGTATGGTGTGGATGATCAACAAGTGGAATGTGATCAAAGTTGTAGCTGCTGCTTCTTCCACAGTTTTAAGAAGAAATGTGGTTAAACAAAAATGTAGAGGGAGAATAGAAAGCACTGGATTCCAACAATCGGAAGGCAGGAGCCGAGAGCTAGATCGTACTCCCTTTTTAAGATGCTGAAAAACATCGGGAACACTAGTACTGTACAGTACACAGCTTTCCCTCTTACTTTTTCCACCTTCACCCTGTGCTTGTTATACAGGTCTTCATTAAGTGCATTGGTCTAGACTCCATATACCATTGTTCTCATTCTCTGTAATTATGTTCTCTGTACTCCTTCAAACATGTATTATGGTACTGGTCAGCCTGTGGTTACTCTCCTTGATCACGCTGATACAGTTAACCCATTTGTAATTTGTATAGCAATTTGAACTTGTATTCCTCTGATTTAAAATGTTGCAAATGCAATTGGAGGGGAAAAGTAGGATTGCCCAGCTGGGAATAGTTTCCCTTGCTAGTTTTAAATATACTGTACAGTGGAACCTCGAATAACGACTTTAATCCGTTCCGGCGCCATGGTCATGTGAAATTGATGTCATTCAAAACGAAGTTCCCGATTGAAAAGAATGTAAATAGGAATAATCCGTTCTACCACCGAAAAACATCAATATGATATTCGATGTTTTAAATAATGGAGCAGCCTACCTTACATACACAGAACAAACCTTTGACATTTTTTTTCTTCAAATTTGTTCAATTTTAAATTTTTTGTATACCAAAAGGTTCGTTCGGTGTTTGTCAGGTAGACTGCTCCATGTTTCTTAAAAAATTAGAAATTAAAAAAAAAAAAAAAAGAATTTTGAAAAGCTGAACAAATGTTAATAAGGTTCGTTTGGTGTTCGGCAGGTAGGCTGCTCCATTATGACAATCTTTGTTTGAAATGTGTTCCATTTTTGTATTTTTAATTTATTTCTCAATAATGGAGCAGCCTATCTGACAAACACCGAACGAACCTTTTTGACATTTGTTCTTTCTTTAAAAAAAATGAATTTCGTTTTTCTACAAAAGTCAATGCTTTGCAACATCCCAGCATCAATGGCATCTTTAAACAAAGAAAAATAATTTATTTGCATCGTCGGAGGCGTTGTGCAAGAAGCAGCCCGCAATCCCACCATTTGGTGTTGAGTTATTCAAAGTGGTCGCCTAACGAGACAAATTGTTTCGGCGACCGTGGCGTTCGTTACCCAAATTGGTCGCCATTTGAGGCAGTCGTCACTCGAGGTTCTACTGTACTCCATGTCTTCTGATAGTATTCCATCCCTTTCTTATTTTGATAGCTATCTATATCTGCTACCTCTTTCTCCTTACATAGCTAACCTCTTGGTCACTTTTTTTTTCCATTTTATAGTGCAGTTTAAAATATATGGCATGACATCAACAAATTGCCCTCTCTACTTTAACTAATTTCTATAACACTGGTTATCTTGAGATGATTTTGGGGCTTAGCTTCCCCGCAGCCTGGTGCTTGACCTGGCCTTTTTGTTATACACCCCCTAGGAAGCAGCCCGTAGCAGCTGTCTAGCTCCCAGGTACCTATTTACTGCTAGGTAACAGGGGCATCAGGTTGAAAGAAACTGCCCATTTGTTTCCGCCTCCACCGGGGATCGAACCCGGAACCTCAGGACTACGAATACGAAGCGCTGTCCACTCAGCTGTCAGACCCCTACTGTGTGTAGATTCTTGCTCCATTTTTAATCCTTTGGGACACCACTTTTACACGATTGTTATACTGAGCCAGAAGGGAGTTGTCAAGTGTCTTATCTATTATCCTCTGGTAAAACTTCCCTTGTATCTAAAGTCTTGAAGTAAATCATAGGGAAGGTGTGTCATTAATTTTTCCTTCGCTTATCTCCAATCATTATTTTCCCACCGTAGAGCAAACTACTGTACTACTGACATTTTGTATTTATAAGAAGTGTCAAGATATATTGAGCAGTAGTAGCTGATGTGTTTGTGGCCTTGCCCTTGTCTGGGCATTATTACTTTTGTAATGTTGTTAATTGCAGTGTTGTTATTGGGATAAACATTTAGCAATTTATTAAAACAACAACAACAATGTATTATTAAGGAAAATGCATACAGCCATTACTTTTGGAAGATAATAAATTGCTTGCTTTTGCAGCGTATGGACTTGGGCGAGTGTCCCAAGGTACATGACCTTGCACTTCGAGCTGATTATGAACAGGCTTCAGCTCAGAAAGATTACTTCTATGACATTGATGTAAGTAGTTTATATTTACCAAAAAAAACTAACATTAAACTTACAACTTTCGTAAGTTTTTGCTTATTTTGTTAATGTGTGAAAATATTGAATCGTGTGTTGAATAGCATTGTGGGAATTGTTTGATTATTGTATAGATTTGTGGGTAGTTGTGTGTGTCAGTCTGTACTGTGTGTGATTGAACCAACACGCTAACTTAATTGCCTAGAATAAATATATATTATGATTAGGTAATCCTTTATAGTTCATACATACTCAGTTTGCAGCTGATTATTCACAGCAGAATTGTCTTTATTTTATATATGCCTTGATGCACCTTTGCTATTGAAGAAAATGTATGCTTGGTTTTCACCCATGTTTGAACATGAAGTGTAAATATAAAGTGTAAATGAATATGAAGTGTAAATAGTTCAGATAAAACAAAGCTTGATTTTGGTATCTACATTTCATTATATTTTAATCTTATTTAAGTAAATTTACCATGAGAGGGCATTGGAAGCTGTTACAAGGAACCGGCATTGGGTCAAATTGATCTGGACAAGTCTTCATTGGTTTTGATTACAGGCTATGGAACATCTACAATCATTCATCACAGATTGTGACAGGCGAACAGAATCTGCCAAAAAGCGATTGGCAGAGACTCAGGAGGAATTAAGTGCAGAAGTTGCAGCAAAAGCTAATAAAGTCCATGACCTGGCTGAACAGATTGGAAAGAAGTTGGCAAAAGCTGAAGGTCTTGGTGCCGATGGAATGGTTGAGGTGAGATATTTGTAAAATTTTATATAACTTGTTTGAGGGGGGGTGGTAGTCATGTGTAGGATATTCATTAAACATATGGTGTTTACTTACATTTTGAAGGATTTAAAATATATGCCTTGGAATCCTACATGCTGATTTTGCTTCTCAATGTTCTGCAGCTGTATTAGGAAAAAATCTAGAGGTTGGTTGGGTTAAAAAAAAAAAATAATAATGCAAGAGCTGACGTGTACTTTACATAAGAATTTTATTTAAAATATTCCCAGGAAAGTATGAAACTCATGGAAGAAGTGGAAGACCTACGTAAGCGGAAAGCTGCTGCAGAGCAAGAGTATCGCAATTCTATGCCTGCTTCAAGTTACCAACAACAGAAGTTGCGCGTCTGTGAAGTGTGTTCAGCATATTTGGGTATCCATGACAATGACAGACGTTTAGCTGACCACTTTGGTGGGAAGCTTCATTTGGGATTTATTAAGATTAGAGAAAAGCTTGAGGAATTGAAGGTAAGTGGTAATATGTAGTCCAATTTTGTATTTTTGATCATTCTTGTGCTTGGTTGTTTACTGGCAATAGTGGTAAAGGTTTCTTTGCCACCTCCTGCATTTGACAAGTAAATGCCCTGGAAACACAAACCGTAACTGTCTATTTTCCGCTTGTTACAACTTGTAATAAAGTTGTTACATCTTTGCTTAACGTGTTTGACGTATTAGAACGTTGCTATATTGGTTGTTATAACTGGTTAGGTGGTGTTAAAACTTGTTCGAACGTTGTACCAACGTCGTAGTTTTGGTGTGTGTTTGGCGGGTGACCGCAAGATAAGAAAGGGCAGTAAACTTTGTCTTAATATGGGGGATCAGCTTTATTATAATAAAAAGGTTCCTACATAAATATTCTGGAACTTGTTTAACTAACATGGCAGCAAACCCTATTTGAAGAATTTTCCTGAGGGGTGGGGGAGGAGTTATTAATCATTGAACAGCATGTTCCTGCCTCCTAAATGAGATGAATGTGCAGTAATAATACCATGGTGTGGTATGTGATATTACCAGCAAATCCTGAGGAATATTTGTTCCATTAACTGGTTGTATTTTGTTTTAAATTTTTAATTTTTAGATTTTCTTTCTTAGTATTGCTTTTCTACGAAATGCTTTCACTTATTGTTCTTGGAGTCAAAGTATGTTTCAACACCTTGCATTCATTTTGGTATCATTTAGCTTTCGAGAGAACATTTGTAAATTCCAAATTAAAATTTTCATTGTACAAAGTATTCTACATCATTGTCAGTTAGAAAGAACAGCTAATTTGTTTGAGCACACCTTACAGGATATGAACATGAGGGAGTTGGTATGTTTTACAGAAATATAACACAAATTATTTGCTAAATGGATTCGTGTTTTCAATTCTAAACAGATTAGCAGAGGCTAGTGCCCCTCAATGAAGCATTCATCCATTCATTCAGCTTGTGAAACCTTTCTTATACTAGTCCTGATGTTTTGACCTTTGTCCCACCATTACATTATTCCCTGAGCAACTTTTGTGAGGATAATAATGTTGCACTGACTTTCACCAAAAAGATGAGAACTAATTTCATCCACATTGTCTTTTGTTATAGATTGTGGTCATAGCAAAACTATTCCTCGTATAACTCTAGCTGACATCGTTAGCAGTTCTTGAATAAATTTTTGTGGTAGCGTAAAAATAAATTAGAATTAATATCACCGGTATTATGATGTGATATTTAAACATACTTTTTGCTAATGAGGATTTTTTCATTTACCATAAATGTCTTTTTATGAAGCGTTGTCTTGATGTTTTAATTTAATCTTGAGTCATTTTAAGAGCATCAATTTCAGTTAATTATGTTTGATGCCTTTCTTTTACAGAAAACAGTAGAAAGCCGAAGAGAGAAACGTCGTGAAGAAAGGGAACTAGAAAGAAATGCTCGATTTGGTGAAATTGCTGATTACGACGTTACAAGGCAAGTTTTTTCCTAGTAAAAGTATAATCATATATAGTTTAAACCCTAACCACTGTGATGCGCTGTGTTTATTGGGACATTCCCCCTGTGTGCCGAAAATCGAGTGTTCCAAAAATATTAACACTTTGTCATCTGAATTATCGTCCTAGGATTTTTCATTTTGGTATCAATGTGCTCACAATAGAATTCCCTACAGGAAATATATGCATATAGTCAAAATCCAGGCATATCGCCACACCAAACCGAGAAATTGGCAGCTCATTACCCGTGAGTGCCCAAGAGCAAAAATTGTGTATACAGTACTCTTTTTTTTTTTCACTTTGGTCACCTCAATTCTCATCCTAGGTCTTTCATTTTGGTATCAATGTGTTCGCAATATGTACAAGTATGTACAAGTATATCTTGCCTTTATTGAGGACTCTTGTTGGTGTATGGAAGATGGTGAGGAAAGGGAGTAGGAGGAGAGGTGTTAGTGTTTGGAAGGGGAGTCCCCTTCCATTATAACAGCAGTAATGACATTTCTGGAGTACACTCTTACGTTTTGCAGGCATACCACTAGGACCTGGTTGTGGCTTACTGCTTGCTTGTCTTACTGTTTATAGGCACTTCTTTTTTCCCTATGTTTTAACACTTGTGTGTAGTAGGACATTACATTCTCACTATGATTGATCTCTTGTTTTTCTGCTATCGTCATCCTCACAACTATTTTCTTAGGTTGAATATTACCACTGACTTTCTTGGAATCCATGGTGTGATATATATTAATAACTTTTATGTTCAGAAACCAAAAAAAGCACAAAAAAATAATGAAATTCTTCAGAGAATTCAAGCGCAGTCGTCACTAGGTGGGAGACACTGGTAAACTGAAGCGTGCCATGTGCTCGGTCGGTCTATGCGTGCATCAACAAACTCTAGTACCGAGGCAAACCATGAATACCGAGTCAAATTTTTAGAAGAAATTGAGCTAGAGAACCAACAAATTTGAAAAGGGGAACATTAAAAAACCGAGGTTCCACTGTACTCTTAATTATTATAATAAATAGGTACACCTGTCTTAATTTCCAAAAATGCTTACGTGCATTACAAGCAGCCTAAGGCCTAATAAGTTTTGACATCTGTGAACAATATTTTAACAGTATTGGTTGAGTAGAGGTCCCACCTTCTGCCTTAGTATCCACAAGAACATGTGGTCTTTAGAATGTATCTGATTAAAAAAAGATGAACTGTGATGAGACACTAAACAGGTTTTAACATACCAATTATTATAAAAAAAAAAATCATCCCTAAAGGATGGTCCCAGTAACTGGAACCTCCATATAGCTTTCCTAGCCATAAGGCTGCCACACCAGTTTGGTTTCATTCTGTTAAATGGTATCTGAATATGTAGTGGACATGTGCCCACTAATTTATTTATATGATTGTATGTATTGAGGTATTCTGGTTGTAGGAACCAGGGACACCTGCCTCAGTTGGCTGCAATCAATGTTTGCTGTACTTAGTTTTAAACTCTACATTTTGGGTTATTCCTAGTCACCCATATTTTATAAAAGTTAATGTACAGAACTCTAATATTTGTTTATTTCTTCGTTAATACATCTTATTAATAATCGTTTTAATTCAACAGGGATCACGACCGTGATCGAGAGCGTTATCGTGAGAGTGACCGCGACAGGAGAGAGAGGTATCGGGAGGGTGACAGAGAGAGGCGTCGACGGAGGTCAAGGTCTCGAACACGATCTCGTGAAAGGCGCCGTCGTCGCTCCAGATCCCGTGAGCGTTACTATAGATCCCACTCAAGATCAAGGTCCCGAGACCGCAGGTATATTGTCTGTATTGAAAATGTTGTCGCTAATTTAGCTTACCTCTAGACACTGGATATGAGAAGGTAACAGTAAAATTATCATCAGGGTGTTCAGTAAAAATCTTAAGTTTAGATACATATGCCTGTAGTTTACCAGTCATTTGTGGAGTGAGGGGGCAAATTGAAATTGAATTGAAATTGTTAATTTCAATTTCAGGGTGAAGGGGGTGTTTAAGTCTTTGGCATGTTTTTGGAGCAAGCTGCAGTGGAACTGTTAACTCGACCAGATCCCTGCAATTTGCATCCCTCTAGTTGTCTGCTTACCCATGAAGGTTCATGTAATTGGGTATACATAAATGTTTATAAATATGTTTAGCAATACAGATTAGGTTATGCAGTATTTATGCCCCCAAAAATGTACAAAATTTACAGTTTTGTTTATCCGAGATAATCACCCAGTCTTAATATCAGAGACTGAAGCAATGCTAGTGGATTGAAATCAGTCCTAGTGAAGTGGATTCCTGCTTGAATATAATCAGTTGTCCAGGAAGTTGGTCGCAACTGAATCCGGGACAGACTATCAAAAATGTTACTGGCCGTTATGAGGAACTTGATAAGTCTTACAAAATCGTGAGTGCCTACCTGGAATGAACTAAATAGGGTATACTTTGTTTCATTGGGTATATATCTTGATCCGGTATCCCTCGGATTTTAATTTCTACACTACGTATTATTACTTTGATAATGAAATATTAAAATATTTTTTAGTTAAATACAGCAAGTATAGAATATTTAAATTTTTCAAGTTAGAAAGTGAGCCAGTGAGTTGGGGTTGGTAACATGTTGACAGGTCCCTTTCTGTTCTTGTTAAGCCAGCAATTATTAATTTAAACTAATGGCTGGTTAATTAGTTGGGTTGGCTTGCAGGATAGAAAACAGTAGACAGGATGGATAGTGAACTGAGTAACTGGCTGGCTGACTATAGATAGCAGGCTGGTTAACAAGGGCCCCAGTGACTAGATCTTGCTTCATATACATATGACCCATTCAAACTGGGTTCATGCTACCAGTATAATGCTTCCTAAACAATGTTAAATGCTTGACACATTCCACTGGAAGCTTGCCATGCTTGTAACTGCTCTTTTACAACCTGCTAGTGATGGAGAAGAACATGTGAAGATTATTTGTATTGTGTGCGTGTATGAAGAGAATTGGGTATCATTGTCTGTTATGTATATAAAATTGCATATTCTGTGTACATGTGTTCAGAAAATTTATTTTGGTACACATTTGCATTGTGTACACACTTCGAATCTTCATTCATACAGACTGTACTTAAGTCAAATACATGCAAATGGGATTTTTGAGTAACTGAGGGTAATGCATAGATCCCTGCAATTGATCACCTCGGATAATCAAGTACTTCAATGTATATAGATTTTATGTATCTATTTTTAAGGAGGTAAATACTGCAAGTTGTTAAGAGTATAAATTTTAGAAGGTACATTAAGTTGATACTGGCAAGAGTTTTTGCTTTGCACTTGTAGGGTTACAATCACTTGGCAGTTTTTAATAATTGAATGCAAAAATGGCCTTCTGAAATAAGTTGCTTTAGTGGTCTGTGTAATGTTTTAAGTAAATTTAAGTGATTTATGTTTAATTTTTAAATTTTGATGGAGATTAATTTAGCTACACTCCTCAGGCGTCATTCAAGAAGCAAGGAAAGGTCAAGACGAACTAGAAGGTCTAGGTCGAGAGAGCGTCATACTCGTTCACGTGACAGGTCACCGTCGAGAGAGCGAGCATCAAAAGACAGAACTTCTAAGGACAGAACATCAAAAGACAGAGCATCAAAAGACAGAACTTCTAAAGAGTGTGTGTCACGGGATACAGAAGACAACAGAAAGCCACAGGATCACGTACCGGCAGAAGTACCAGATAGGAGGTAAAAAAAAAATTGTTTTAATCCATAGGAAGTCATCTAGAGATGATTTCAGGGCTTAACGTCACCCGTGGCCCGGTTCCCGACCAGGCCTCCGTTTTGTTACATACCCCCAGGAATCAGGATATTAATAGCTGACAGCAGCCCAGTATGCAAGAAAAAAACAAATTTTTCTAACATTGTTACAATGCATTCCCTGATCGGGGGGGAGGGGGGTGAATTTTTTCAGTAATGTGTGTGTAATGTGATAAATTTATGTAATAAAATATGTGGGCCATCACTATACAGTACTCAAAATATGGTGAGCATATTTGTTACAAATATTATATTCATAGAACAATAAAAGTTTTTTGCTATTACAATATATATATATATATATATATATATATATATATATATATATATATATATATATATATATATATATATATATATATATATGTCGTACCTAGTAGCCAGAACACACTTCTCAGCCTACTATGCAAGGCCCGATTTGCCTAATAAGCCTAGTTTTCATGAAATAATTGTTTTTCGACTACCTAACCTACCTAACCTAACCTAACCTAACTTTTTCGGCTACCTAACCCAACCTACCCTATAGAGATCGGTTAGGTTAGGTAGGGTTGGTTAGGTTCGGTCATATATCTACGTTAATTTTAACTCCAATAAAATAAAATTGACCTCATACATAATGAAATGGGTAGCTTTACCATTTCATAAGAAAAAAATTAGAGAAAATATATTAATTCAGGAAAACTTGGCTTATTAGGCAAATCGGGCCTTGCATAGTAGGCTGAGAAGTGAGTTCTGGCTACTAGGTACGACATATATATATATATATATATATATATATATATATATATATTAATATATACACTATATATATATATATATATATATTAATATATACACTATATATATATATATATATATATATATATATATATATTAATATATATATATATATATATATATATATATACATACACTATATATATATATATATATCTATCTATCTATCTCCATTCATCTTTCCCCCATCCATCTATCCTAATTTATCCATCTATCCCTCTATCTTCATCCATCCATCCACCTATTCCCATCCATCCACATTTTCATGCAACATTTTGAATTGCTAAGCATTTCTGGTGACTGCGATAATCAGCGTTCAGCCTTGTCACGACACATATTTGGCACTAAATTCTAACAGCACACATTGAATATGTAATATTTTTTTCATGGATTTTTTAAGTGCAATGTGTTGGGCTGTCAATAATAAATGTATCCTAGAATATTGGTACACAGATATATTCATGTCACTAATATCTGTTAAGTATTATATTTTTTTGAACAATAAAACATACCGTTATCCTGTTTAATACTTTATAGACACTTTATATATAACTATCTTTATTTTTGTTCACCATAATGAACCATTAAAGTAGTCTGGTGAATCCAAACAACATACCACCACCACACGGCTGGCGGCTGGTGACGCTACCTCACTCGGCAGGGTTCCGCCTCCCACCATACTATGCTCATTGCTAGTTCTTGGCACAATGCTGCTATTATCAGAAACCTGGTCACTAAATCCTGTAAATGAATAATTTTCCACACGTTTGTTTTGTAAAGGAACATGAGCAGTCATTTCAAGATGCTTAGATGTACCAAACAATGGCAGTGTACTGTGGCTAACCGCCTAGTGCAGTTAGCCACAGTACAAATAAGTGTCTTCCCCCCCCCCTTGACTAGTGTGAGAGATACAGTATACGTATCTGCTAATATAATTTATAAGTTGTCATTTAAGTGTGTGTACTCACAAATTAGGAGTTAATCTTCCAGAATTGTACCAATATGCAAATTATTTAAGCAAAAATAATGTACAAATTCAGATGTTCCATACCTTACTGATATGCTAATACATCCACAGGCCTACTCCATTGCTAATGGCTACATAATGATAAATGCTAGCAGTTTGAAATAATAATTACATTTTTTTCATCTTATACAGTGTTATAATCTCAAATTTTGTGGATTATTAAGTGTATTCATTTTTTTTTCTTTAGAGACGGCAGTCCAGAGAATGGTGAAATTACAGATGATCGGTCCAGAGATGGCATGGAATAAAATTAGCACGGCAGACTGTGGTACCAACGAATTTGTGTATTCAGACAAACCAGCTACTGAGTGTTTTAGATGTTATTCATCGTTTTCCATATTATTCGTAATTACTTTGTTGACCATTTACATCATATCATATACAATGTTCATCTTCTCTCTCTCTTGTGGCAAGATGCTATGCCATTTACATGACACTTTTTTGTCTCATCTCCATATTACTGTAATTTATAACTTTAGGCAAATTCACATTACCTAAATTATAACAAGATAGTTACTAGTAGTTCTCCAAATTCATTTTTTTTTATCACTAGTTTTCTAAAGACCCAACATAATGCTTGGGGTATGGTGAGGTATGTCTCGTATGCACATTATCAATAAATTGATTTTTTTTACAGTAATATAACTTTTCATCCATAACAAATTATCATTGGCAATGTATATTTCATGTAAATTAATGAATTGATTGCAAATGCATGAATTGCATGTGTAGGCTATCAATTACATTTAAAATCCTTCAAAATAGATAATCTAGTAAATGTGTTTGGCTCGGCATATAGATTATGCAGAGCTACTTGATCTGCATATAGATTATGCAGTGCTACAAGTTATTCTAGGTGAATCTTCATAGAAGATTAATAGTGATGGCCTGAATATGTACAATAGCTAGGAGCAGTAATAATTTTTTTCTGATGCTTGAAGAGGAGAACTAGTTTACAAGTTGTTTTACATGTTAGTGATAGAAACAAAACTGTAACCATTGTGGTTTTGTGGCAAGACTGATAATGCCCAATTTTATGAGGTTTCTGCTGTACACATGTAATTTACTTGAATTAAAAAATTGAAAGTACAATGTCTTTTACTATCAATTGAGCAAAAATCCCATTTGTTCGGTAGTTATACAAATACCAACATAATTTAATGTACGTGTGCTAATGCATAGCGGACAGGTCCACATTGTATTGTTATTTTAGATTGTTACTCTGAACAAAAGTTCAAAGTAGCATGAGCTATGGTGAGCCCGTAGTGGTCTTTCTGGCACAGGAAGAGGGGGCTGTGACTGCTGCCCGTTATATTATATATAGTATATCTCGTGTACAGCGACGCTTCATATACTGAACTGGTTCCTTGAGTAATATACGAAAATAGTGCACATGGTTAAATATCTGTACTATACCCTTGCTCATCGTGTTCTTTGAACACATTAACTATTTCAGTAAATTTTAATGTTCTGATAGATTGTAAGTTTCTGGAAGTATGTAGTAGTTTGAAAATATAAAGTACTGTTATTTTTCGCACCATAGGCATAGAGGAAATTGCATTTCATGTTCAGTCGTCACAATGTGATTGAAGATATAACCAAATTACACATCAGAACGAAGAAACGTCATATCTGTCCATCCTGGATCATTATGAAGTCTTCAAGGCAAATTGTTTACACGATTTTAGGTTTCTGGTGTATCATCAAATTCCCAAATAGTGACTAGCATATACTATCCCTAATGTAATACCAGTGAGATTACATAGCAAAGTCTATTCCTCTATAGGAAATATAGCAATTATTGCAAAGTGATTTTAAAATATTTTAAAGCTAATTCAATGTTTAATTGACCCTGTTCTATCATATTCTAAAGGAAATTAGCCCTACCAACACTTAGCAATTGTATGGCACTAGTTTAGTGTAAAGAACCAAATTTCTAGGATAAATACAAATTTACACAGGAAAGGGTGGCAAAATTAGATGATGCAAGGTAAATTTTGCTAAATCTAGAGCAGTTAAAAACTAATGTATTCACTGTCGAATACATATTACTGGATCGAAAGTAAGTGAATGGTGCGTTCAAAAGTGTCGAGAATTTCTAAGAACTGATTCAAGTCCAGTTCTGCCAAGTGAACAGAACTATCTTAAGATGCCTTGCAAGAATCTACACATTTTACCTTAACCCAAGCCAAAATTTAGTAATAAATCGTATGCATACTTTAAAAATGATAATATAAGTGTTATACTGTACTCTTCCCACCATAAAATGACAGGACTTACAGAATCCAAATATAAAACTTGGTCGATCTCTGTTTAACTGTATGCTTGCCCTTTTGTTATTTTTTGTCCAGTAAAATAGTTACGCGAAAGACAATTTAGATATAAGGACTATCGACAGAACTAAACTTTACAGCTAAACACTTCTTTGAATCAAATAACGAAGTAACAATCATTTATACACAAGATTGGCATTATTCATTCCAAATGGCTTTTTGTACTATATATATATATATATAAACTATTGGCTTTTTACTATTTAAATTCCTACTATAACGAGTTTCTCGTTCAAAATATCTGACGGACTAGAGAGTATTATAGATCATATGAGAATGTGTACGCCATCATATAAGAAAAAAAAGGCTAAAATGTCGAGGTTTCAAAAGCAGGGGCACCTTCAGGCAGGTCAAGTGGGAATCGTGCCAAAATATCCCACCAAAAGTGAGTGTGAAAATGTGGGGGAAAAAAACTGGTCGTCCCTGAGCGGAATAACGGCGGGAGTGAGTGGACAGTCACCGTTGACCGCTGGAGCGGCCTCGCACGCTGTTATCATCATTGTCATCTGCCAGGTTAGGTGTTATGGTTTAGGCATGACAATACACGTGGGTAATAACAGTATTCATTTGGTTCATCGAAGATTCGAACTCTGGCCTCAGAAGTACGCGACTTATTTTTCCAGCCCGTCCTCGACTCCATTACATTCAGCGGTTGCCCTCACAGACGCATTCATAATTTCTTACATGCTGTTCATTCAAAACGTGAATTTTCTCAAATATAAATTAATATTATAATATATTAGCATATTGTGTATATATAGGCATAGGTTAGGTTAGGTGTTTAGGTTCTGTTGGCGATTATTTGTATTTGTAGTACGTGGGCGAAGCATTTACAGCGTTGTGGTTTGAACAAAATTCGTCAGTGAAGCACTTGTTCCGGAAGTGTTCGAACGTCAACAGTTGTAAGTCGTGTGTAAACCGTTTTTCATTCATTAACAGGGGGTTTTGCGGGTTCATGGAATCACTTTTGAGTCTTTGTTTGGAGGACGGGCTTGTTGTTGATGACGGGCTGCGTACTCTTGAGGCCCAAGTTCGAATTCCCGATGATCCAAGTGAATGAGATGACGCAGGATTCTAGGGTCATTGGGGTTGCAATCATCGTGGTTTCTAATCATTAAGTATACATTATACTAATAATTAAAAATTTGTATAAACTTGAGTAGTAACCTATACATCTCAGTGAATATTAGCTACTTTGGTTTCCTGTTTGTATTAAATCTGCTGCTACTGTTTTAACTATGCATTTTGTTTGCTTCTGTGGTTACTGGCTATATCGTGGCTCTGCTCCTGCTGCGTTTACTGTGCTGCTGCTGCTGCTGATGCTGCTGCTACAAGCATGTGAACTGTGTCGTTCTGCTGGCCTTGGCGGTTCTTGACAACCCGGCCTCCTAATAGAATGTCGCTGTAGCAAGTACAAACAATATACTCACTACATTCTCTCATTATCTTAATGGCATAACTAATTAGCATTAACTACACAAGCTATAATCCTATCCCTATTTACAGGTAACATTCTTTCCATCCTGGTTGGAGGAAGCTGAGGTGTATTCACCGAATATAAGCAAGCGAATTGCGAATAGCCGATACACATTGACAGCCCCGCTCCTGTGCCAGGTAAGTCCACTACGGGCTCACCATAACCCGTGCTACTTGGCCCGCTCCTGTGCCAGGTAAGCTACGGGCTCACCATAGCCCGTGGTGAATCTAAAACAACAGAATAGCCGATAGTACAATTTCCAGCCAAGAATGTAACACTCGGCGTATGCAGTTATAATCGTCCCCAAGACGCTACAGCTTCGACACAGAACAGGCAGCAGACTAGGACAGCATCGAGCTACAACGCTCTCCCACATAGAGCTCCACGACTCCGGCCACACTCTTCAGCTCTCTGCTCTGCTCCAGTCTCCGTCCCAACGTCTACGACACTGCTGTATCCAAGACTACTAAATAAATATGAAAACTCACTAAACAGTATCTAATCTACTCAACAATGTAACATAATCGTACGTTACATCGCATTTTAACGCATACTCTACCTAAGGGCAAAAATTATCGTACTAGAAAATAGTAGAGGCTCGCAAAATGTACATCCTGTTTTGGGTTATCTGTTAGGTTCGGATAAGGGCACTTTAGTACGACATTTTCTTGACATTGGGAAAGGTTAGGAGGACGGGCTGTCTTGATTTCCTTGCTGGTAAAATGTATTGAGTATATATGTTACGTTCTGGATTGTATTATCTTGATTTATTCTACCAACACGATATATGATGCTATTGTCGATACTGTTGTATATCATGGCTATTCTTTTCCTACTAAAGGTTTGCCGTTTCTACTGGCGTTCCGAGTGTAGTAATCTACCGGACGTTGTAAATGTTCTTGCCCATCCGCTGTATCTGGTTTGGCGTAATTAATGTCTCGGTTGCAATTTTTAGCATGTTGCAATGGCTATATATGATTTGTTGTATCATCTGTGCTGTTGCTGGTATTGGCAAAGGTGAATATATATATATATATATATATCTCGGTCTCAGCGACCTTATGGTGGTGCTCTTGTGCGGTAGGCACCAGGCTATGGTGAACCACAAACCAGTATTTCCCCATCATCCCACGGCGACTTGATATTACTTCCCACTTTCAGAGTTTGTAAACAGTATCTTTTTGGTATTGTTTACAATACTTTTTTTTATCCTGTATTCATTGGTGACGACGCAGGACGTATGTACCGAGTTCGTCCTGTGTGCTGATGACCGCACAAAACGAAGGATGCCACATATGAGTTGTTGTCTTAGATTTAGCTACTCAGAACGAAGTGTCCATGTAGCACAGGCTATGGTGAGCCCGTAAATCACACATGAGTACACCGCATGTTTATATGGGTCCTGTCATGGCACCGCAGGTTTCTTTTGCGTGAACACAACCATTTCGGCTCTCGTACACACGGTAACACGCACAAACATAAAGGTGGTTTTATCAACAGTCTGGCAATTCACGCATATTGCAAATGAAACTCCAACAACACATAATGGTCTTAAAGTAATCTCACAGAGACCCCGGACTATTATAAAGAACTGTAAAGAAAAAAAATGCGAGTTTAACTTGTAACAACTGAAGTTCAAGTGTGTTTATTGAGACAAGAAAGAAATACATCTCAAAGGGATAGAGTGGCTTAGGCTGTTCCTACCCCCCCCCCAAACAACAGAAGTGATTCACACCAATGGCAGCGTTAGTGTGGGGGGGAAGGTGGGGGCGTTCCTGGCTGTGGGGATGGGAGCCAGGTGTCTTGCCATGGTCTTCCCCGTTCTCCCACGTTTATCTTGGCCATGACGTCACTTGACGTCATGGCAGGAGACATCCGGCTCTCGATCTTTCGTGCACTGATCTCAACATCCGGAAACGCATGAATATTTTCTGAAGTGGGCGTAATTAATAATTACAATAATAATTATTCGTTGTTTCCATAACCAAAATTATTAAGAAAACTAAAACATTTATTAAACTGGCGAATTTAGGACAGTAAACAAATCTTGCGGAATGTTATCCATAGTCTTCAACAGCAGAAGGAAATGTATATGTTTATCTCTCAGAATGTTTGGTAATATGTTTACTGTTTGCGATGTGTATCTATGTATGTATTAACACGATGTACTGAACGGGGTGAGAATAGCTTGAGCTGCCTCATCCCTTTGTGCGTATTTTACCTCAATAAACTTATTTCAATTTCAATTTCTTGGCCAATTGGCTTTCGTACATACCTTT